ATATTTGCATTCCTGTACATACCTAGTCCTTGCAGATACTGGGACATGATCTGGATTTTTTATATTATGCATCATCAGTAAAATTGTCAACTGATTGTAGTGAGTATTTCTGGTGATGATATACCAGTAACAGACAGAAAAGAAAACAAGCGCATTTTTAGAGCCTAACTTAATTTTTAAGCTCTTCCAAATTGATCTAGTCTTGCAAACTAAGCCCATGAAATAGGGAACCTCTTGGAGATCAAGAACAAAAATGAAACCCCACAATGACATTTTAGAAGTGTCAGTTTCCCAAGCTAACTGATATTTAAGCAATAGCTCCAACAATGCATTATTTGGGAGATTGGGGTGGGGGGCAGCAGGAGCAGGGCTTGCCTTCAGAATTGTGGCAAAGTTAACCACACAATAGTTGAAGTTATTGAAAATTTCCAGGTGACTTGGTCAGGAAGCACAGTATTAATTACTGTCTTTCTCCTTTTTTTATGGCTGTTGCAATAATGTGATGTTGTACACAATATAAACCTACTTATGTGTTCTGTGTGCTTTCCCCTACACACTGCACTTCCCTCCCATAGCTGCCTGCATAGCTGCCATGACGTAGTGCTGAGGAGAAGCAATCTAGGGAGCTGGGGCTTTAGTATCGTCGGTGGATATGAGGAGAGCCACACAAACCAGCCTTTCTTCATTAAAACGATTGTTCTTGGAACTCCTGCATACTTTGATGGAAGATTAAAGTAAGCCCTAATGCAGTTTTTAGAATGATGTTGTAAACAGCTGTGCAGACTGATAAAGCTATTTCATTAAGTGATTAATTACATTAATTATCTGTATGACACTGGCTATTGTCCAGGTGTTCCTTGGGGGCTGGCCAGCTCAGTCATGTTTGACATCTGTAGTGACTTCTGTGCAGGGAGGTGTTTTAGCTAGAAGGAAGTGGTATCAGTTGCAGCTCAAGGGTGGATCCAGGTCTAGCACTTCTTGCTTCACCCACCTTTGTTTGGAAAGGCCTTCGGCACTCAGTTGGTGGTGCTGATTTGACCTACCTTCTGTAGAAAAAGTGAGAGAAGTCTCTTTTCTCCATCTGTAACATGAGTATTGTGCTTGCCTTTTTGTAAAGGCTTTCTAAAATCAGTTGACAAAAAGCCTTTATGAACATGCTCACAGAGCCATCAACATTCAATGCCCAGCTCTTACATACAGCACTTTAATTGGATCCCCAACTCTGGCATTTGGATGTTTGGGTTTTTTTGCGTGTGCACCTAATTCAGCATCCGTCTCTAGATGCAAGATGTGAAACTTCCCTAGTTCATAAACTGAGCCACATGAACGCTTGATGATAGACTCTGAGGCCAGCTGCAGTTGGAAGAATCAGTTTGAGAGAGAATCCTACTTAGGCTCTGCCCTGGAACATGCTATTGGGCTGCAGGGAATCAGTCCAATGATGGATAAGAGCTGTGCAATGATGGAGCTTGCTCAGTTCAGAAAAAAAAAATCTAGAGAAAATTTAGCTACCAAACTCTAATAAGTCTCTACTCGGTATCAAAAAATAAAGTTTATCAGATGTTCAAAAATTGACCAAATGTGAGCAAAATTTTTACAGGAAAGACATAAAAACACCCTTCAGTGTCATATTTTAAGTGTCCACTTGAAAGGAAGGAGTTGCTAATGCTCCTCAAGGAAAGAGCTACAAGAATTGTTTTTAACTTGGAGCCTTGCCACACATTCAAATTAAAGCTAGATAGAAACCAGCTATTAAGCTGTTACACATTTTCAAGCACTAACATCATAGCTGGTTGGCTCTCTTTATAGCTGCATGTACATTTTTATAGCACAATAATTATAATATATGTAACGTGGCAGGACACATGGAAAAAACTTTTTTTTTTTTTTAATCCCTAAAACCATTCTTGGAAACAGTCAAACTATTTCATTCTGAGGCAGACACTTAGTGTAGGAAATGTCAGCCCAGTGGTAAAGTTTGGGAAAATTGTAAGCCTCTGAAAGTGTGGTTTTGTGCTGGAAGGTGTTGCCATCCTTAATGATGAGTTTTTCTTGCATACCTATAATGAATACAAATTCTGACCCACATAAGTATGTATCTGTTATTATCAAAAATGTGTGTTTATGTATTCTTATTGCCTCTCAGTGACTTTATTAAATGATCTTTCTCACTCTGGCTGCCTTCTCACATCATTCTTGGTATTATCCTGTAGACAAAGACTTAAAGTTAGTGTTGGAATTATCAGGGATTTAAATCCAGGGGTTCATGAATTCCTTGTGCTCCTTTCACAAGAATGTCAGATTTAACCTAAAGCAGTGCCTCTCAAATGTCTTGTCTGCATACCTGTTTTAAGTTTGTTATACTACTGGGTATCCCCCTGATTCTGTGTTACGGACAATTCCCTATCCCCTGCCCCCAACTATCAGTATCACTAGAACCAATCTAGCCTCTCTGACAACACAGGAAATGGTATTGAGGTGTTCTCCATTTTTTTTTTTTAATTCCTTTTCCTCTACTTACATTCCCCCTTTCCTTGCTGCTTTTGTACTCCTTCATCTCACCTACCCTCTAGAAGTTTGCCACATAGTCCAGGTTAAAACGTACAGATTGAAATAAACTGAATTCCTTTAAGATCCGCTGGAAGAACTAAAATCCGGTGGAAACCCAAGGCCCTAAATATGACATTGCTTTTCCTATTTGTTGCTGTGTGAAAGCTATCGTATACTAATGCTCACTAATAGGCTTTCTGTTTGTTTTTTTTAGATGTGGGGACATGATTGTTGCTGTAAATGGACTATCAACAGTGGGTATGAGCCATTCTGCACTAGTTCCCATGCTGAAGGAGCAGAGGAACAAAGTCACTTTGACAGTTATTTGCTGGCCTGGAAGCCTCATATAGATTTGCAAGTGTTTTGGTTCATACAGCTTATTTTTCTAGATGGCTGGTAAAAACTCTAGTTTTTGTTTTGTTTTGGTTTTTCCTACTGACACAGCTGGTAATAAGCAGGGCCAAAACTGCTACGTTTATTTTTTTTCCAAGATTCAACCTCAATGTTTGTATCTTTCTTTCATCCTGAAACCGACCTTCCTACCAAGTTTGTGTTAATTGTTAAAGATCCCTCCCCCCCCACACATTTTTGTTATTAAGCCTTCCCAGACGGGTAATATTCTGGCAGGTTCAACAGGAGAACGCTTGTATTTTTGGTTTCTCTTTCTATTTTTCCAGATTGAAATGTTAAGTAAGCTTTGTACACACTCTTCACAGAGGGAAGGTTTATGTCAGTAATGCACTCGCAGATCTTTCTCTCTGCTACTGTGAATCAAAATCAGTTTCAAGAGAAACACCTTTACCAATTTTGTAAACCTTTTCATTTATTCCATGATTTCCAAACCATTCAAGGACCTTTGTTACTCCTAAGAAAATGTTTGGTCCCACAGTTTTTCTTGCAGGGCATTAGTGCTTAGAAAAGTAGGACAAAAGCCTGATATTGCTGGAATTTTTATAAAGTGCAATAATTGGACTCTTTGTTAGAAAATGATTTAATATATTTCAAAGTTTGTATCCTATAATGAAAAGGAATATGGAAATAATTAAAGTCACAATGCTGGCAAGAGCAAATATTTAGGGGTCACCTTTGACGGAACAGCTTGAAGACTTAAGTTTACTTTCCAAATGAATGTTTTGCTATGTTAGAAAATTTTGATGAACGTTTTTACTAGAACCATTTTTACAGTTTATATTGTGGTTGTCAGTAACTCTCCTTATTCCTGCGTGGAAACATTACAGTGACTCAAACCTGTAAATTAGAGAAGCATATAAAAATAAGATAGCTGTGTTATGAAAGTGTACGCTACTAATGGGAGGCCAAAGGAGAGGCTTTTTCTATTTGGTTGCCGCTGCAAAATTTTATCCATTTTCTGTCACCTACTGATAAATGCCCAAATGCCTTCATATAAGATGCTGAAGCAATCTGTCTTGTATTTGAGAAATCATTTTGGTAAGCACCTGCTATTCAATTATCAGTAACAATAATATTTTATATCCGTGATTATGTTTAGTATTTTTACACCAAACCTATAACTTGTCAGGTTTCAGTTTGTTCATGACTTATGCAGGCTGAGCATTCTTTTGTGAAAGCTTACAAAACTTTGTGCTGACCTGGAGCAAAACCTCTATGTTAATGTTCTGCATACTTGGGAAAAAAAAGTTTCATGTAGAAACTCAGTTCAGGTTCTGAACTGATTTTACAAATGACCTCTGTATTGTCATGATATTAATTATCAAGAATGTATTTCACAATCGCTAAATATTTCAATTGTGAAGCATGAACTTCATTTTCAAACTTAGCAATTACAGTATTGGGGCATATCATCGCATGTCACTGATTCTAGTAGCTTTGTTTAAAAAATAAAGTTACTCTTTTGCAAAAAAAATGTAAAAAGCTATTATGGAGGAAGTAGTTTCATTCTTTGTGGTAGTATAGGATGTTTGTTTGCTTTCATACTATCTGGATACAGAAGAATGTCTCATACAGTATATTATTGTATAGAGAAAATTTGTTTTTTGAATCAGACAAGGAACTGGCTGACATGAGAATAAATTTCCTCCTTTCCAAAAATGTTGTTGAACTACATACTTTGTTTATAATGCAAACTTTTGTAAAGTACATCTTAGTATAGGCTTTAGGAATCATATTGACAAATGTGCTGAATTTGAAGTATTTCATTTGACAAGTGACATAACATTCAAAAACCTGGGCAAAAATAGCATTTTTTACCTTGTTTCCTTTTCTTTGTCATGAAAGCATGAGTTAACTTAAAATGTGTTGTTTGTTTTGTTCCAATAAGCTGTCACTTTTAATCAGAATGTCTGGTGATGGAAGCTTATTCTGAATGGATTCCTTTCCTTGAAATACTGGGGTTATTTTTCTCTCTCTTATGGTCTTGTAGTTGCATTGTTTGGTTTGTTCTTTTGTGCCTTCTGTTTAAATTATTTCAAGATTTTTCAGCTGTTGCTACCTAATTGTGTGGTATTAATGAAGGGTGACTGAAAATAAAAGTCCTCTCTACCCATTGTAATAACTCACAGTATTGTGTTACTCTCTTTACAAAGACTGTAGATAAATGAATGCACCCACTGATTTGAGATATTTCTCTCTGTAGCTAATCACAAGTTACAGTTATAGAATGTTATAGGACAATCTGAGAGCATAGTCATAAGAAAATAGGAACTTAAGACTTACCAGACTGGAACACACAAGTTGTCTAACTAGTACTGTATTTACTTGAATACAAGATGAGGAGTTTTCCCCCCAACTAGGGTGGGGAAAAAAGCCCTTCGTCTTATAATTTCATACAAGGAAATCTCATTAAATACATTGTCTATCATTAAACTGCTGCCAAAAAAAAAACCTTGTGCTCAGCAATGGAAATCAGCTATAAAGTTGATAAAATGTAACTGTCACTGATCATGACTATAAAACACATGGCCCACACTGGGCAAATATGCTGATAAGAACCTTTTTGTCCTATTTAATCAGAATCCCTGCCCCACCCCATTAAAAACAAATAAGTTTACATCAATGTGCATAAAAACTTTTCCCAAATTAACATCTTTTACATCCTTTGATATCTACTGTTTCTTCCATCTGCACACTTCTTATCCGTTGGCATTATTTTGCCTCTTATTTACATATAATTTCAGTGAGATACATCCCTCCTCCCCTGATTTATCCATTTTAACTGAACAACTTTGCCCTTTATTTCATACCATATTAACATTTCTTTACTGGCTTGCATATAACTGCCCAACAGGCTTCCCTTACTACCCACATCTCTTCAAATAGCATTACCTGTCAAGCTTTAATCAGTTTTCTCCCAAACCATTCTGTTATTTCCCCTGCTCCCCCAACCTCCATCCAGAATCTTCCTGGAATAGCGTTTGCCAGTCTTTTAATCTCCACTTGTTGCTCCCAGCTCCTCTTCATCTCTTTCAATACACATTCACAGTTCATGCATGGGTAGCTGCATGCATTCTCGTGGTGTAAAGAATAGTCCCTTGCACACCAACAGGGTCCATGTCTTCCAGATGGCCACTCTCACACACATTATCAACAGTCTTATTTGCTGGCTCATTTGCTTTCTTTGGTCCAGTCTATACATTGCCATCTCGTATTTTAATACATTAGTCCATTGGGTTCTCCTCTCAAACTTCCCCACCCTCTTCCACACCTTCTCTGAATAATCACACTCCCAAAACAAGTGGTAAGTTGACTCTGTTCTCACAGTTTTCCCTTGGGCATTTTTCTGATTTTTGCAATCCCCATCTGCCTAACCTCTCCCTTACTGGTAATACATTCTGTGCTGTCATCCACACAATTTCTACATGTTCCCACTTCACCTGTGCTTCCCACATACCCTTCCATACTTTGGCTGACTATCTCTCAGTCAGGTTCCCCACTTCTGTTATTCTGTCTCTGTCCCTTATTGCTTTAGAGACTTCTACTATTTTCCTATTTCTTCAGGCTCCCTTCTAACAATGCATTGTACCAGCACACATTGTACCGTGTGCATATTGTACCATGAACTTCTCCACTCTTGTGTAGTGGCTTGGGCGGGGGGTCCAAGCCCAAGACTTTTTCCATTCCTCCTTCCCTCTTTCCCATGTCCTCAAGACTTTTCCAGCTAAGTACTGGCAAAAGCCCACCATTTTCCCTTTACCTCCATCATCCACATTCTTTCGATTTAAATGTTGTGCAAATAAACACCTCTGCTCAGCATTCCCTATCCTCCTACTTGTTTTCCCTTATATCTCTCGCCTTGCCACCCACTTCCTTTTGCTGCCTCAGAAAGAGGTGCACAGTTCTCTTTGTGTCCTTTGTTCTTGTCGCCATGTTGGGGGAAACACAATTCCTACATGAAGGATCACTGGTAATAATACTGTCTTTATCAGTTCCACTTTGCCTTGTTTAGACAGTGTTCTCTGTTTCCAGAGACCTGTTATTTGCTGTACCCTGGTGATTGTCTTTTACCAGGCCTCCTCATCTTTTCCTTTCATGTCCATCTGTACACCTAGGATCTTCCTTCTCTCTGTTTGTAGCTGCAAACCAGTCTTCCAGCCCTTCCCAATTCCTTGTTACCATTAGCATGCTCTTCTTTTTGTTAATTTTTGCCCCTGCTGCTTCATCATAGTCCATTGCGTGTTTCAGTACCCTATCATTTAACAGTTTGTCTTGCCCTATTACCATGATGTTGCTCATGTATAGCATGCACTTAATTTTTTCCCTGCCAGGGATTTTTACCCCTGTGATCAGCTTGTTTCTTATTTTCTGGGCCAACAGCTCTGACACATACGAAAAGTCCTGCTGATAATGGGCAGCCTTGCCTTACTCCAGGTCGTATCTCAAAGTCCCAGCTCAAGGAACCATTTATCAATATCTGGCTCTTGACCTTCCCATACAGTAACTGTAGTGCCTAGACCATCCTATTTGGGATGATTGCGGTCCATTCTTCTCGGGACTGTGAGCATGATCCCATGCTCTACTCGGTCATATGCTTTTTCCAAATCTATATTCATAACCACTGTGTTTCTCTCTCTCTTGCACTTCTACCAGCATGTCCCTTATTAACCATAATGCATCTGCGATCCTTTGTCCTGGTGTGACATGGATCAGTTGTTAAGTTGCCTCTCATTTTTTGGGCTAATGCTTTCGCAAAAATCATATAACCTGTGTTTAGCAGCGTAATTGGTTGCCAATTCTCTAGTTTTTCTTTCTCTCCTTTTTAAAACTAAGAACTATGACTCCTTCAGCAAATCTCTCATCTATTTTGTTCTGCTCCCAGACTCTATTAGATAAATCTACCTGGTCCTGGCCTATACATCCCCAAAATTTCTCATAAAATGTACTTGGTAATCCATCTCAGCCTGGTATTTTCCTTCTCCAACTTTCTCATTGCTTCATACACCTCCCTCTGGGTGATTTCTTTCTCCATCTCCACTCTTCCTTCTTTGTCTATTCTTCATACAGTTTCATCCATAAATGACTGGGCTTTCGCTTTGTCCATCCCTCTACCTTTGTATAGTTCTTCCTAGTAAGATCGTGCCTCCTCCAACACTTCTTTCTGTCCTGTTGTTCTTTTCCCTTCCACTCCCTTCACTGTCTGCAGTTCCTTTTGCACTGCTTTGAGTTTGGATGACAAGTATTTACTCCATGTTTCTCCTTCTTCCATCCATGGCAGTCAAATTAAGAAGATCTCTTTCACTCTCTTCCTAAACAATCTGTTGATTCATCCTGTGCTCTCTGCAGTCTAGTCTCTCTTCTTCCTCTTGTGCTGTTTGTTTTAGCAACTTCCGTAATCCTCCTATAGGGTTCTCGGTTCTCATGTTGGCCCCTCTCTCAGCCTGGCACGTATGATTAGTGTGGCTCCACCCTCCCTGAGAGGAAGCCAGACCAGATTACGCTGTGCCTCATCTGCATATACATTTTTGGAGCATCCCAGGACTTGACAAGAACACCCACTTTCAGTCATGAGTGTGAATTAATTAGCATATGGCTCCATTTGTGGAGGGGGGATGGGGGTGTATCTGGAGTACACATACATACTGAGCTGGGTTGTGACGTCACCATGGGTTGCAATGCTATTGACTCTGGTAGGGCCCAGCCCAATGAACAAGGAGCCCCATCAATGAACATTGTGGTAAATTATAATACAATTGCTTCCCAGCCTTTTGGCCAATATCAAGCTAGACTGGGGGCATCTGAATCCCAAGGCCTCCAGGCCTGGGGCTTACACATAGGATGCCTGTCTGGATTTGGGGAATATCCAAAGCCACAGACCTGCCTAGTGGTAGAGCTGCAGAGATTTAATGATTGAGCTCAGTTCAGTTGAATTATGGAACTTGAATA